AGTGTGTCTGGAAATCCGAACAGAAGAGAGACCAATATGTGGAGGAAGGAAAAAAAAAAAAAAAAAAGATTCACCTTGTTCGTCATTTGCCTTCTCCAGAGCCGCACGGCCTGTTCCCAGGATGTCCACCTCAAAGACCAGCTGTGGCTTAGTCTCAACACTGAAGGAGGTGATGGGATGTGGATAGATACACTCTGTCATACTGTCGTACAGACATCCAATCAACTTCTCCACGTCTCCGTTGAGCTCAGTCACACAGCCTCCGTTTCTGGGCTGGAGGGAAGACGAAGAAGTCAATCATCAAAAAAAAAAATTTAAAGGGACCTGTAAACTCAGGGAACTGAGGGCTAATTTTGTTAACCAGTAAAAACTCATGAGAAAAACTCATCTGTATTTGTCGAGCAGTTTAACTAGAGTAACATCAAGATATGAACTACACTTCCATCCATCACCACTTCATTCTCTCTGGGTCACAGAGGGAGCCAATCCCAGAATCCCTGTCTTTGTGTCTGTGTATTTGTATATATATGTCTGTGTGAGTGCACATGCGTGTTTTTGTGCATTTATGTGTCAAGACATACTGTATATATACAAACTCACTCACACATACAAATAACGTAACGTGTATATATACACAACATACATATGTACTATATATATATACACATATATACACATATTCACACACATATATACACATATACACACATATACACATATATACACATATATACATATACACACATATATACATATATATACACACACATACACACACAGTGTTTCTCTGCATGTGTGTGGTCATATTTGTGTGTCTGTGGTTCCAACCTTAATGAGAAACCTTCGGGACAGTTCGACTCTCGTCACATGACTGAGGCCGGCACTTTGGCAGATGGACACAGCATTAGTGGACCAAGCCGTGGAGAAGTTCAGCCTGTGGTGAAGATCAGAAACAGAAGTCACATGAGAAGGACTTTTCAGGTAAATTAAAGTGGGTGGATGATGTTAGTGGCACTTGGATGTAACTGCTGGCTTTTATTTGCCATGTTCATTAAGGAGCACAATAACATTTCATGTGCAATGTAGGAAAAGTATTTAAATGCCAGTGATAGTATGACTGTTGGTAATGTTACGCTGATCATCTTTAAACATTGCTGTCCATCAGTGGACTCGTTATAAGAAACTGCTCGTCCCTGGTATTAGATCACTTAAATCAGGGGTGTCAAACATGTGGGGCGTGGGCCAAAACCGGCCCGCTTGTGGTTTCAATCCGGCCCGCTTGAAGAAGGATGAAAATAAAATAAAAAATGCACATACACTTCATGTTCAGGAAATGTTTTTAAAATTGAAAATTTGCTTAAGAACAATGGAGAGAAAAATATTTTTTGTTATTTATAAGTAATAATGATATGATTGTAATGGCCCGGCCCACTTGAGCAAATGAGTTTGACACCCGTGCCTTAAACGATGCCTCACCCTCACAGCAGCAGTACCTGGGTCCGATCTCCACTAGTTTCTCCCCACTTCCTTCTGTGAGGTTTGGTTCCTCTGACAGCGCCTCTGTCTGCATGGGAGGACGGAACAACCAGAGCAGAACCTCCTTCTGCTCGGCACTGAGGCACTCACAGCCTGCAGCACAAGTCGAAAGGGAGGGGAAAAAAAAACAGAGAAAGTTGAACATGCAATCTCATAAACTGCCATATTCGAACAGCAGGTTTTGGCTTACCTGTCAGCTCCACATTGTAGCACAGCTCAGAGGTGACTGACAGCTGGGGGTAGAGCTTGGCGGAGCGCTGGACGGCACGACCATTCACAGCTTCACTGCTGTAGAACTGAACCACAGCCATGACGGCTGCAGCAGGAGGAAAATAAATCAACTTTTAAATCGCAGGAACCTCCATCAACAACATCAATCACAGCTGTCGCCGACACAGGACGACAGGCGACACATGTCGATGTAAGGCCCCGGTTCGATCGATAAGCAGTTACTCAATACAAGAAGAAAAGGTCAACACAGAAGTTACATAAAAAGTAAATAAAAGGTCTCGTGAATTTTCGCCCCTCAAGTTGACCTTTGTCTTTGAGGTTACATAGAACCTCTTGCCCCAACTCGCACATTTACGTGCTGTATGTGTACAGTGATGTATTTACTTATTTATCATCACTGTTACTAATTTACTTCTTCTGTAAGGAAAAAGGCGAACTGTGGAGGGTGAAACACTGCCCTCGCCCAGTGACTGCTGGGATTTACAGCTTCCAGTCCCACTTGGAAAACGATTACAGAAATGATAGATGATGAATGAATGAATGAACTTTCATTCATTGGTTAAATAGAGTCAGCCTTTGTAATATGAACTCACTGACTGGAGGTAATAATTTCTTGGACTGCAACAGGTCAACTGGTCAAGAGGTCAAAGTCAAATCAAAAGTATTTTTGTGGTTTTTGTGAATGTGGTTTAAAACATGATTGCAGCATTTATTTAGCTAGAACTCATTTTATTGGCTGAATGAGTTGTTGCCCAAATAGCACTGCAATATAAGACAATATACAACAGTAATGTTTCTAAACCTTTTATATATTTTTACATGCATGTCTCGTTTTTGCAATGTGTAACCGTTTTCTCTGTTACATATAACAGTAATTTTCAACCCGTTTTTATTTGACACCACTGTACCAAGAGGACCTGGTACAAGAGTGGCAGAAACCTGTTGTTTTCTTTTATTTCATTCTGATCCATAGACATTTCTTTGTGTCTTTAACAACCAATTAGCTTTTAGCATCATTAAATTGTAAAAATGACGACCAGTTTAAACTCAGTGTATAATAATCAGCTATTTTTATCTTTTGTTATAAAAGTAAATTACAATGCTACTGTGTTAAGCCACACCCACTTTTACATTCTAAACTCTGATCAAAGCTTCACAGTCAAGCTGTGGTAATCCTACCATGCTCCTGAAATTCAGCAGTTAAAAAGACTGGGAACCACTATAGTGTGTCCTCACATCTATAGATTTATCAATCAAAATGAGCGTTCCCGTCAGACTGAGACAGACATACAGACAATCAGCCTTCTTCAGTCACCTCATTGATTGTGTGCATGTGGAGGTCACACACTGCATGGTCAGGAGCTTCGTGTTAGACCTGAATCACATGGAGAGCTGAACATGGCTGAACGCCCTTCGATCGTGCAAATACACACACACACACACAGATAATTGTTTCATAATGGTGGTATTACATTCACAGATTGTAGATGTTGGTCTTACTACCTGTAAAATGCTCCAAATTCACAGTTTGATTCAGTGAGTGATTCATAAAGGACAAAGGTCTAAAGGTCATCTCTCAGGGGTTAGCTTGATAAACCAAGGACGGCAAAGAAGGAATACTCAATGTACTTTAACCAAATTCCTCAGTTTTCATTTAGCTAAGAGGACATTTATAGTTTATATTTATGTTGAAAATGGCCAGATTTGTCCTCTAAAATATTTTATTGACAATATTTAGTTTGACATCCTTTAAAAACTTTGTTGTAAGGAGGCGGAGCTCCTTTTTCCTCCACTGCAGGCTGTGATGTACACACTGTTGTACAGTAAAACTCTGGTCCATGTGTTTGCTTAGACGACAGTGTTATGGATTCATATAAAACTACAATAATTGACAAAAAAATTCTATTAAAACATCTTTCAGACTTTCTTCTGTTAGTATCAGAGTCTGAATTACCAGTTGTTTTGAAACACTGACAGATTATCTTTGAATGATAAAAGTAAAGGGATATGACTGGATTATTTTGGAATGGAGTCAATTAGTAAAACTGAAGTACATTTTTTCACTGTGGCTCGGTACCAAATGACCTACGGACTGGTCCGTGGACGGGGGTTGGGGGACTCCTGATTTAAAACACAAAAACACAAGTAGACACACAGCTATTCTGCAACTAAACCCATTCATTTATCTACAAGAACGGCTTTCAAACGCTAACTATAACAACTTCCTGACACCTTCAACACGTCTATCTTTATGTCACATCTTCATCCTAACGCGCACAAAAAACACACACACGGAAACAATTAAGAACGAACTGCTGTCTTGTGACCGCAGCGGCCGTAAAGCGGATATATGTAAAAGTGCTGTAACATCTGCCACAAAGTTAGTGACGCTAACTTTACTACAGTCAGACTTAGCACCGAGTTAGCACGTCTGAGAAGTTGGATAACTCACACGAAGAAGTTCCGCTGGAGAAGTCCCGCTGTAGGAGAGGAGTCGTGGCTGCTGGAGAAAGTATTACTGCAGTAGAATGACCACAGAGAAAGCTGCACGGCCGAAGCTGAGAGGTCTGTCGTCTCTCTCAGGACAGGAGGATGTTGGACACTTCTCCACTCACACGTGGGAACGCACCGAAAAAGGGCGCATGCGCAAGGACGATCAAAAACAAAATTTTACCAATTATTTACAACTTATTCAAAATACAATTCATAAACGAGAAACATATATGTTTAATTACGTTATCTAATGGAAATTTAGATTAAATTGCTTTTTTTCATCTGAATAAAAACATTTGGGACGGTTCAAATCAATACATGTCTCCTTTTCTTCTAGAATGTAAGTTCAACTACTTGTTTATACGATATTTTGTATATGCATTTAGTTTTAGGAGGCTGACAGTCAAATGTAGGACACAAGTATATAAATATAAAACTATATGTTCCCCTTTGCCAAATGTTAAATGGTAGGTAATTGATTTTTTTCTTATGTTGAATTACAAGTTAAGAATTTTAAAGAATTACAAGTTCAGAGGTTAAGTTTTGCTAAAACCAAAGGACCAATACTCCTTTATTCTGTATGCCTTGACATTTGTGCTATTTTATTAGTAACAGTCATAAATTTGTATAATTAGTATAAAACAAAAGCGTGTGAGTTCCTTCTTTTTTCCACCTTTTAACCCGTTTTTTTTTATTATTTTGCAGTGTGTAGACAGAACAGAAGCCACAGAGCCCGAATCTACAGCCTTGAATATATTTTAATAAATTAAAGCCAAGTACAAAAAGAAATGTACATTTCACATCTTCCTCCACTCCTTCACCTCCAACGTTTTCTTACGACCTTACATCTACTGTATTTCTCAGCCCAGAATGAGGCCACATCACAGACAAGCAAGATCATAGTTGAACGTTCACTGATTCACAGTTGGAATTAGACTCTGAGCCAGGGCCGTTTTACTTTACATCTGATGTCTGCCTCTGGTCTCATGTTTTTTGTTTCTTTTCTTAGTGTCTTAAAACGCTGTATTTGTTTTGTCACCCAAACCCAGAAACCCCCATAAAACACATGCATGCTACATGTCTGCAGGCACCTGGGACAGGACAACAGGATTAGAATCGATATATTTTACAATCCCCAAATCCCCAAAATGAATTTTTATCTCCGATGTAACATCCAAGCATGTTGGGAGATGCAAAATGACTTTCTCTAATCCTTTGTCCCCTTCAAGGCAGTGACGCAGATGAGTGAACATGAGTTTACAATATGATTTGATAATAAGTTATGGAAATAAGTCATGAACTATTCTGATAAAAAAATGGAGGGGATCAGCTGCAGTGGGCATATAGAGGATATGTGCGGCCATCTTATTAGAAAAAAAGTTTGATTTGTAAATTTGAAGAAAAAAAAAGGGTGGCGGGGGGGCTCTCTATTTATAGAGACAGGAGGAAGTTAGGTTTGTGTACTATAGGTCCAACATAAGTGCACTGAGCAAGTGGAACGTTACATTTGTGCACACACAGCCTTTCATACAGGTATATACACACACATACGCTCAAATACAAAGAAGAGTTTGCAAATAACTGTTAGTATTCACAACATGATAAATATTTATGCACAGTAACAGTGACTAACAAGCCCATCGTCAGCATTATATCCCCCCCTTCCCCCAAATATGTCCTGAATGTTTACATCCTGTGCATTTTCCCTGCTGTCAGCTTACCAGTCATTTTACCTCCAGCCATCGCTCTAGGCAGTCCTGCTTTACCTTAGAGGTAACTGCATAAATCTGTAGTCCGCAACCCAGGAAGAAGACCTGAGTCTGACTGGGTGTGACTTAGTGATTTGAAGATGACTACTTCAGGAAAGGCATACTTGACAAAAAAAAAAAAAAGTCTGAAGAACAATATATCATGATAACTTGGCAATACAGACTTTGTAATAGGATTCAGTAAAGTAAACATTACTTCTATAAAAAGGTCCAATATGCAACATTCAGCTTTAAATTGTGTCAGGGAAAAAAAGTATCATCCACATCAAAGTAGTAGTCAAGTGCACAGATGGTAACATCACATCCAGTTTCTACTTCTCTACTATCCAGCACACGAGTTGCACCTAGAACTCACTCATAGTTTATTTGTACTTGATCCCAAATACTTTTTGCCTTTTTGCTGTTTTCGTCTATGGTTACGAGACTAATCTATTTGAGCGCTCTCATAATGTTAGAGACCAATTATTGCTATCTTTCTTTTTTTTTTTAATCCTGCACATAAGTCCTAATTGCACAAGTTCACAATTTCCACACTGAAGCAGCAACAGACCCATAAAGCAAACAAACCCATTCATAATCATCAGAGAAAGTAATATGCCCGGGAAAAGATGACCCTCCAGTTTCCAAAGGAAGACTTTACCTACTGGCCGCATTAAAAACTTAACGTACACATGATCGCAATCACGTCTCGGACTGACGTTCTGGAGTCTTGGATTCTAAACCTTGAACTTTGTTTTGAGCTGAATCATATTTCTGACAATGGTCTTCTCCGAGTCTTTCCGATAGCAGCAGCTAAAATGCCGACACAACCCCTTTAAACGTGTACATATATGTTTATATACTTCATTTCATTTCGTTTGAAAATTAATCAGTCACATCGCTAAGTACAACACAACAACCATTTCATAAGGAATTTCGTTACGCCCGGAATCAGCCCAGGAACCACAGGAAGAGTTGTGAAGGCGGGACAGAGATAGAGGGAGACGGTGAGGCAGCATGCTGAGTGTGCTGCTTAGAGCTCTTTAAAGAAAAAGGCCTCTAAGGAAGAAGAGAGACAGAAAACGATCAATCTCAACACAGAAAGAGAAGGATTCTGCAGCGACAGGTCAGCCTCTTCAAGGTGTGTAGATCTGCTGATCTACAGACTGGTCGGGGCGGAAACGGTTTGTCCTGCTCCTGGGTGTCGGGTGGTTTTACAATCATCACGTGGTAGTGTTGCTGACGGGGTTGTTGGCTAGAACAGTGTTGTTGTGGTGTCCAGCTGGTTTGCACTGAGGGCAGAGGTTAGGTCAGTTTAAGAGTTGGTCAAATTTTAGTAATCAGCAGCATACTCCGTCCCGTGGAGCCCTCTGCACAAGAGTGTGAACTCTTTGACGAGGTCCTTCACCCTCCTCTTCTGCACCCGCTCTCTGCATGACATGAGGAGACAAAGAGGGGAAAAAAAAGTGCATATTATGCAGGGTGTTTCTCGATAACCTTGTAAGCAAAAAAAAAAACGGTAACATACCGAAGTATCTGCTGCGAGAAATGGTTTTTTTGTGCTGCTGTGACTCGGGATGATGGGAACCCCTGAGGCTGCAGGGACTCCTTTAACCAGATGACCAGCAGAGAACAGCAGTGCTTGTTCAGAGAAAACAGAACCTCTGCATATTGGTCCATCAGGCTGCGAGATGCTCCGCCCCCAATACCCTGGAAGGAGAACAGGAAGCTTTTAACCAGAGGAGATCGATTTCAGCGGCAGAGAACATTTAAAGAGTAAAAAAAAAAAAATCGTCCTCCTTAGCGAGTGACAGTTTGATGTAGTAAAGGGTTAAAATAGTGCAAGTGCTTCACAAAGAACCATGATCTGTTATTAATATGACCTGAATGCCGCGGGCCTCCGTTGCTGAGGTGATAGTTTCCCTGTTTATGGCATGTCGTTAAAAGTTAAGTTGAGCACTTAGACTTAGGTATCGGATCGGACAGGCTGTAGTTGGTTTTTGTTTATGTTCAATCCCGAAACCTTTACCAATATCGGACCGATTCCAAGTCTGAGTATCAGATCGAGCCATCCCTGTCCTCTATCCTGCCCATAGGCTGTGTATAAAAACGGTTGTTTTTATGCTATCAAACTCATAAAAATAATTTTTAAAAATATGACCGACTTTCCTTTTAAACTTCAACTCAATACATTTAAACACAGTACTTATAATAATAACAGACGTATCAAAAATATGTATTGTGTGATGTTTTAGTGTGCTGTAATTGTGCTTTTTTACCTCCAACACAGCCTGAACCAGCAACTTGCCATCGTCCTGCACCACCCTGGCCAACGGCGGCACGTCCGAGCAGTGACTTAATAGTTCAGTCTACAAAAGAACACAAGGACACTCGGATGACTCACTCACGTCTAAACTGGAAATACGTTCTGGAAAGACATCACGTTTGTGTTTGTGCTCACAAAGAACAAGCATGTTGACTTCACTGTCTGAGCTTCAGGAAATTTGAGCGACAGAACTCCTAGAGATGAAGGAGGAGGGGAAAAAGACAGAAATAGAACATTGGCGAGTGGCGACAAATATTTACAGTTTGTACGTGCAGTGACAGACACATTTTTTCACAGGAACTTTAGTAGAGACGCCCAGTAGAATGTGTAAACTTTGCAAACTCACCACAGTGGAAAACCGCTTTCACATCAAGACTCACAGACAAGAACAAATCGGGCTTCCGTTTGAGGGCCTAAGAGGTAGATAAAGGCATTAAATCCCACATGTTTCTGTCAGCCAACCACATCACCATATTCCATAGTATGAGTTTTGTCAAAATACCACTAATCAAGATTCACACACAGTCTGGTAGCCAGATCTGAGAGCAACACAGGGCTCAGACCAGATCTACCGACCAGGCTCGAGTGCTCTCTCTGTCTGATTACTAAACTGTAAATCCCGACTCGTACAAAGATCATCCACTGCAGAACTCAGCAGGTTTAACAAACAAATTAATCAAAATAATCAAAGATTGAAATTATTGGAAACTTAAGTCAAACTAAAGGCAAAGATGGTGTAGTTGATTCAAATAGAAATACAAAATGTCCTTTTGTTTTTGTTTGTTTTTTTGTTCTTGACTAACTTTGCAACAGAAGTGTGTAAGTAATTAACATGTGCAGCTAAAGAGAAACACAACTCATCTCATAATAATGAACTCATTTAGGATGGAGGAGAGGAGAGAGGGAGAGAGGGAAAGGGAGAGAGATGAAGGTCAGATCTATCAAAAGATAGAAAACAAAAGAAGAATGTAGACCAAAGACAAAAAATATATATAGTTAGATCAAACGGAGGAGCCCATCAACCAATTTGTCAAAACCAATTAATATTAGGTAAATATTAATTCAGTTGGGCGTTGGCTTGGGGCTGGAATGACTTTAGAGGAGAGGTGAATTCAGAGACTACCTATAGCCAGTTGTCTGGGACTAAACTGCTCATGCAGAGTTACTTCAACTTCAATATCAATGTGTCCAGGGTATCAACCTGTCTGTCATCAATCTAAACAGGAACGGCCTCAGACAACATCTCTGACATGACCATCTGTCACCTGACTGCACACCACACGTTTTCTGAGATGTACCGCGCCACCAACACATACTTCTCTGCCACTCCTGAAAGAGGTGTACGCTCTGTTTTTAAGTATCTTCTCTGACCTATTAACATCTGCTTTCCCCCAAAACACAAATGACACTCAATTTAAAGCGCTGCATTTGGACAGTAGTTCCTAACCTGTGCCAATACCGATTTGACAGTCTGCATTCTTGATTTTGCCCTTTTCTTTTTCTTCCTTCCAGAATTTTTATCCATTTCTCCAGATGACACATTGGTTTAAATTATTTCTGTGGCTACAGGATTTTTTTTTTATTCTGCTGTGGAAGACTGGCTCTTTTTCCATTCCAATTCAACATTCCCCTCACATTTCATTCCACCACTGCGCCTCTGTGATGGGACTCCTTTGTAATAAGGAACAGAAAGAGATAGAGAAAGGAGAGAGGGAAAGAAAGAAAGGAGATGAGAGACAGGGAGAGTAAGAGTGAGAGAGACAGCCAGAGGAACAGAGTTACAGAGAGAGAGAGGAAGAGAAAGAAACACAAAGTGAATGAAATAAGAAACCAAAAACACACCTGAGCTTGGAGTTGCATAAATGAATCAACAATATCAGGATGATCCCTGGGTCCTAAAATATATAAAGATGAAACTTAAGAAATCATAAGAGAATAAGAATAATATACAAACAGCAACTGAATAGATTCAACAGTCATGTAGAAATTAAAGAGAACTCAAAAATATTTATCTGAAGTAATTTACAGGTGGATAAGGAACAAAGAGGTGGCGGGGTAGGGCATGTGAAGCTTTGGCAGAGTCTTTGGAGAAGAGACCAACCAAAATCAAAACACAGGCAGAAGACAAAGACAGGTGTCCTTTTTGAGTGAAACCAAGAAAGAAATAACGAGGGGAAAAAAAAAACAAACCTAAAGAAAGAAAAGTGGGTTTGAAGTGGGAACCCAGGAGGCACTTCTGTTACTGTTACATTATGGAGAGAAGGAGGCACCGAACCTAAAATGAATTCCCCTCACGTCCCCCCTCTCGAGACTCTGCTGACATCAGACAGCAAATACGGCCTCTACAAACTGAAGGGAGTCTCAGAGAGCAGCGATGATGGAAGACTTGTTCAAGAACTTTACTCCAGAGGTGAAAACCCTGATATATTATAACCACTGTCCTTGTGGTTGTCTCACACAAAACCACTAAACTTGGAAAATATTGCAAATGTGGCACAGGTGAAACAAAACAATACAATTAAAAGGGTTTCTCATTTAAATTGCTGTTAGGATCTCCTGCCTTAAACCTAAACCTAAAAGAAGTCCTTCACAGAATTCTGCATGGCTGCGGAAAGAGGTCGGATTTGAATCCGAACAGCAGTAACTGCAGCCGTATTGAGCTGCAGCCATTGCTGTGGTAGATGTCACCCAGCTGAATAAGGTCGACATCTGTGTTCAGTGCTGTGACTGCATCCTAATCTGACACTGACTACCAAAAGGGCACCTGCTCAGAAAAGAAAGAGTTTAGAAGCAGGAAGGAAAGCAGCCATCACTCAGACCCTGTTCAGACTTGACATTAACATCCATCCTCGGTGATCCGATCACAGACACTAGGCTGGATTTACAATTGGATTTTGACAGGATTGCGCTCACAGATCAGAACAAAAAAAAAAACATTTTAAGAGACACATGAGGGACCCCAGTCCAGCTTCTGTGATCTACAGTTTGACTCTGACCCATGAAAAACCAATACATTTATTGAGTTCCTGCAGCTGATTTCTATAAAAAATAATAATAAAAATAAATGCATCATACATTAATTTGCCAAACACTGTATGGAAGGTCATGACTGCATCCAAACAGATCACCTAGAATGGCTATAAATATGTAGTCTGAACAGGATTTATAACCAGTCAAAGCAGGAAAGGGGAGTAAAAATAAAATAAAAAAGAAGAGAAGTAGGGCGTGGGAAGACAATCCCTATAAAGTGGCCTGCTGAAATATATCCCCCTGATGTTTGAGCTATGTTGAGTAAAAATTCAAACTTTCTGGCTATGGGGCCACAGACTTGAGAATGAAAGTTAATTTCATGAAAACATACAGACAGTGATTTGGTCGACAGCTTCATTAAAAAAAAAAATAGAGTTAATCAACACAATCAATATAAAAATAAAGCAATGTAAAATCCTGTAAAACATCTCAAAGACTTCGGTGATTTAAGGGGTTAATGTTTGGATTCTCATAGTCATTTTATCATTTGTTCTTTTAAATCAACAACTAGGCCTGACAGGGCTTTGTTCTCTTTATTTCTTTTATTTTTAACCTTTGTTCAAAGAAACAAGAGCAAACATTCAAAGGTCGGCTGTGACGAGCCCAGTCTATTGACCTCTGACCTTTGCTTTTTTTGTGTCCTGTGCTGAGGTATTGCAGAGCAGGAGCAATTGCAAATATTCAGTATGTCACCACAATCCAAACAGAATGACAAATATCAAACTTGTTGTGTTTGTACACATTTGTTTTCAGAGTCACAGTCCGGACCCTGGGGGTAGAACGATAATCGGGAGTATTTGGTAATTGTTTTGAAGAAAAAAAAAATAACTGAAAAAAATAAAACAAAACAAAACAAGGATTTACGGCCCCGCCCCTTTCTGGACCCCCTACCTTGCTGGAAGATGGACAGCGTTACTGAGGTAACCAGCTCAAACAGAGCCTTGATGGGCGGAAAGTGGTCCGTCTCACTGGCAAAGATATGCACCATCTGAAACAGCAGGACTTTTAATCAGACACATATATTCCTCCTCCTAACATAATCTGCTGTTTTAAGCCATGTTTATGTTTGACTTCGACTGAATTCAATCGATTGAATTTGCTGCCTTAAGTTGTTCTCAAATTCATATGAAGAAAAAAAAAAGTAACTATAAATACTCTGACCCTACGGTCAGATTTGAAGAGGCTGCGCAGGCCCCCACGCAGCTGTGAGTATCCGAGAAGAAAGGAAGACGTAGCAGCACTGCACAGACTCTTAATCACTGTTTCGTGTGTTCTTCGGTGTATACCTGTCTTGTGAGGTCGAGCGCCGAGGCCTGGGGAATTGTACTGTACATCTGTCCAAGCATCTCACTCAGCTGGGACACCATGGGGGCAAAGTTGTGGAGGAGCGTTTTTACCGACTTTTCAAAGATGGCACACACCGCCTGAGGAGCAACATGAGATCAGCCTCGTTGAAATGTTGATCAAAGCCTCATCAACGCAGCGATGTGCAGACGATTAGGTTTGATATGACTGACCTCTACAACTTGCGAGTCAGTGAGCCACTTGCTGAGGACCGTCTGTATGAGAGCAAAGACTTGCTGCAGAACCACCACCACCTGAGACACATTCAACCACACAAACAATACAGTCAACGAAACTGATCAGTATTTATCAGGCCATCACATTAGACAGTGACATGTTACACACAGAAGCACGTTTACAGGCAATATAAGGACACATTTCTGCAGGTCTAATTCCCCATTCTGAGATGTGATGTCACTCGATGTGTTTACGGAAGTAAATACAGATGCTACACTTGAGCACGTGTATATTATTTCAGAAGTTATTCTGCGATCAATGTCAAACAATTTCATCACTTTGCCATCCTTCAGCGAGGGTCAGCTCTACCTGCCGATGGGAGCTGTCAGCTTTGATCCATCCAAACGATAATACCAGAGCTGAAGCCCTGCCAGCTCTTTCGCTAGCACCACACATCTGAGAAATGGTGAAACTTTGACAATCGACCTCCTTCAACAGAACTGTCATGGTTGTTTCATTTATTATCTACATCATATCTGCAGGTGGTGTGGTGGCTTAGCGGTTAAGGAAGCGGACTTGGGTCCAGAAGGCTTCAGGTTTGAGTCCACGAGCTGCCAAGTTACCACTGAGGTGCTCTGAGCACCAATGACAATGTAATCATTCACTTTCACTTCTTTCCCACCCCCAATTGTGATGTCTGTCTCATTTAAAAAGGTGTGATGAATATGACATGACATTTTTCTTTTTTTTTGGGCCACTTGCCTCACAGTGTGAGTGTCTGTAGATGAGTAGTCAAGCCACTCAAACAAACAACTGCAATAGCCCCACAAACATGTTAAAGAAACATTAAACAACAACTCAATAGTTGGGTTACTTTGTTTTTGGGTGCTTGATTTCCTAAGAAGTAGCTCCCCCTAGGTGTCGAGATGGGGCACACCCCTGACACCAGAACACTTTAGGGATCCAAATCCAACTATCAAAATGTAATGTACAGTATACAGTACATACCTCATACGTTAACTGTATGGTATGTTGACAATGGTGAATAGAAGTCACACAATTAGGCCTGTTGTTCTATGCTATAATAAGGTTTGTAACTAAAATAAGAATTGAGTAGGAATTCACTTCTAACCTTTGAATATCTTTGTGAAGGAACTCGTTTCTAGGGCTCAAATGTCGGAGGAAAGCTTCAACAAAGCAAAGTGCAGCATGTCAGGGACATTTATTAGCTGTAAGGCACGACGCTTGTCAAACCTCACCAAACGTTCCCAGGCAGACAGGTTTTAATTTGAGGCATTTCATGTTCTATGATCCAAGTGAATCAATGTCTGCAATTAGAGCTTCCAGCAACACAGAACACTGTGCAGACATCTGGGGCACATCAAAAGGGACAAAGGAAAAATTGGACAAAAAAATAAATAAATAGAAATGCAGGAGATCCATGCTATTTTTTAATACATAAAAGACGGACCAATTGTTAATTGTCGTATAGAAATCATTTAGTTTTTGGACATTTTTCTGCATCCTGCATGGAAATAATAAAGACACTAAAGATTATGGACACAAATCAGTGTTTGCATTGTTATCATGTTGCCACTTGTCTACAAATTGACACACATGTTTTCACACATTACCCATGTTTTCCTAAGAAGAAGAAGCCTCTTGGATTAAACATAAAAGTTCTTTAGGACTCACCGGATTTGGTCCAGGTAAGGGTGGGCTAGATTTGACAGGTGGGGCTGAGCCGTCCGCTGAGTCGTTGTCCTGCTTGCTGATATCGAGTGTTGTGAACAGGTTGGACAGCAGCCCCAATATGTGAATGATCGCTAGTTTATTAGAGGGATTAGGCTGAAAAACAAAAACATAAATAAAAATAAAACACAATTTTTCTCTATAAGGTAATGTTAATTCTTTACATACAGAAACGTTCATATGCATCACATGTAAAGCCCAGTAATACATCCATCCAGACAACAAACAGTTGTAAACTTACCATTAAACAATTCTTATTAAAAACTATAGTTACTTTGTCCCAACAGTAGATAATATTAAACATAATATTGGCCTAGACCAGCACCCCTACATACACACACATTATAACAGTACTTGTTCTTTTCTATGGTAATGTGATACAGAAATATTATACATAATATACATATACATAATATTGGCCTAGACCAGCACCCCTCCTGTGAGATGTGACCATCACTCATCGGATGTAATGTAACCTGCAGGTGTCCCCAGCAGGTGCCACTATTTGCTCTGTTCCAGAATTACAGTAGCTCCTGATTTCCTAGTCTGATGTAATGCTAGTACATGAAAAAAGCTAGTACGCGAGTTGAGGGCGGAACACCAAGAAGCTAAGACAGGGTGTGACAGTGTTTCTCTGTGTGTGTGTGTGTGAAGAGCTGAGTCATGAAGGTGACATCTCTTTTGACTCTCACCTGATTTTATCTTTGTAGAATAGGAAGTCAGTGACGGTATATTTTTAGAAAAAACTGTGATCCATTTTTACATAACGAACGATGAAAGACACAAACCAGTCAGACCTGACGCAGGACCTGACGTCTGAAAACTGTTTTAAACACATTTATACTGTTAAACAATAAAAGGCATAGATATATTTTTAAACCTAACTGTAGAAAAATGTCTTAGCTGTATAGTGTAGTTTCAGTTTGAGACATGAGAGACTTTTCTCTTGACCTTTTCCCATATAAATAATTAATTTTAATTAATAATTCCATCATTTGGATTAGTGTTACATTAAATGGAAAAACAAACTTTAACCTGCTGTTATTTGTCTGTTCCAGCAATATATAAAAAAAAGAGTTTTTTTTTGGTCATATTTAGGATAGTTGACTTATCTGAAATAATCCAAATAAATTTGGATTTATTATTTGTGAACGAATAATGGTAAACATTGGTTTCAGTACACACCGTCTCATCGGCTAGCTTCTCCAGCTGCTGAATGTACGGTGTTATGAGCGAGTGAAGGTTTCTTAAGATTTCCTCCACAGGGAGAGCAGAGAGCAGGAACCCCAACGCCTGCATTAGCCACATGCACTGACTCGTCTGTGGAAAGAGACAATGGAGACTTCAGCACACATGATGTTAACAAAATGATTACAAAAGGGGCTACTTTCAAACAAAAAGAGTTTTATGAGACAATGTATGTGAGTAAAAATACTTACTTTGTGAATCTGCTTTATAAGCACCTCCTGAAAATTGAAAAAACAAACAAAAAAAAAACAGCATGACTTTGAATTCAAGTTTAATATTTCTCAATGCTCAAAACAAGTTAGAGTAAATGTTTATGGCAAAAAAGACAGAAATTCAACCAGGCAGAAAAAAAGATACAGGATTAAAAAAAGACCTACATACCTGAGAGACTGCTACTATGTTGTTTGCATAAGGCGGCAGGTCATATTTGCATTCCCTACAGATTTTCTTGAGTGTAGAGACGGAGGAAACAGAGAGGTCTGGATTTCCCAAAGCCTGAAGCACCAACGGCAAAACACTGCTGAGCATCACTGGGTGATCGGCCAGCCATTCAGCCAGAGCGCCTGATGAGAGAACCAATCAAGTACTGTTTTATACCTTCTAAGGAACTGCAGTAAAACCTGGTCTAAGAGAGAGGACATAAACTTTATTAAAAATGTTTTGAGAAATGCATATTGTCATGAATTTACAACAAGGTAATGCAGAGAAATCATTTCAAATGTAATTGATTAGGTTTCTTTTAGGGATGTACGATAATATCGGCTGACCGATATTCACATAATAACAGTCATATCGGCAAGAACCATTATAGGTTTTTCCCCTGATAATGAAAACCCGATAATGCAGTGCCTGGGTTTCGCCAAATGATGTGTGCCCTAAAATTAGTTTGGGGGAAAATTGGCTGCATGTGAAATTGAAAGCCACTAGATGGCAGCATTGGAACTCATTTTACTAATCTATTTAATAATCAGGGGACTGTATGCAGAATGCTGGTACTAGCAACTCATACAGTGGTTTGTACTGGTAAATAAATATTACAAGATGCTCAATAGTATCGGGTGGTGAAAAAACTTCTGTCCATGGGGGACACTGCTTTAACTCATCACTTTCGTGAGCATGCAGCACTACCTTAGCTTCCTTAACCACGAGGCCACCACTGCCTCGCTATATCCATATCGGTTGATATCAGAATCGGAAATAAAGTGTTTGTACAATATAGGCAAAAAGTTAATATCGGACAGCCCCAGTTTCTTTTTATTCAGATATCACATGATTATTTGTATTGTTGTGTATCTTAGTATTAGCGTGCAGTTCTTTCTGATATGAAATGACAGCAGCTTGGGTCATTCATTTTGAAACCAAGATAATTAATACAGCGAGGTAACGGCTCCCAGAACTGCCATCTCTGCTGATCTCGTGTGTTTCTGTTCTGCACCACGTTTGAAAGGTACATCGCCGGTTTTTTCTTACCTATTGTGAACATTACCGTGTCAGCCAACTGGACATTGTTAATGCTGATCCTGGGTATCAGTCCTATTAGACCTGGGATCACATCAGAGTAGTTCACGTCTATCGTCTCTGCTATAGACTGGAAGCCATACAGCAGAGCCTCTGTGTGCTAGAGGAGATGGAGAACAGTACCACAAAATCAGTCACAAAAGGTCTTAAATACATAATAACAAATCTGCTTCAAAAAAATAATTTCCCCAAGCAGCAGAACTAATACTCTAAGGCATAACAAGGTGAAAAATTATTTTCTTTTAAAGAAATGTAGACTCTTTTTGAGTTCATAAATCAAACGTATTAGTGTCACTCACCTGCCATGATGTCGGCTCCTCTGGATTTGTCAACAGTCTACCCAGCTTATCATACAGGTTACTAAGCAGCTCCGCTCCCAGCATCTCATACACATACATGAGTGTGTCTGAGATGTCCACCCTGATAGACAGACACGGACGGACAGATATCTTAGATGACAATGCTTTTTAAAACGCTGCGACAAAATAAACAAAGTAAACAAAATACACAAACCTGTAGATTCTGAACTGCTCTTTCTCATCCGAAGACCACGACGCATACTCGTGGTCGGATGGGAACTGAGCTTTGTGTAGTAGGACATCCACCAACTGAAAAAAGACTGGCCTGTAGACCTGAAGGTAAACAGCCTGCTTGTCTGACTCAAACGACATGATTTCATCCTGAAAGAAAGGAGGAAGAGCAAAGGAAAAAGTTTAAGCTGCGACTTCATACGCTGAACCAGCTCACAAATAACCACAAAGCTAATCATGTCACGAGGTGAAGGGTATTTTCCAGATTTTTGCTTTTTATCAAAATAATCATACATTCATTTTTTATTACATACACTGGCTAATTTACATTTAAAGCACAATATTATGTATACAGGTTTAAGCAAATACAGAACCTAAAACAGTCTCTCTGCCTGTTTTAAGGCTTTTGACTCGTGCTGCCTTTAAAAAAACCCAAAAAATGTTACCGTGAAGGGAACTCACTGTTCCAAATGAAAGCCTGATTGCCTAAACACAACCCATTCAGTGTGAAAATCACCAAGAAAATGTGTAAATCCTTGCATGTGGAAAGTGTTTACATCATAATACTGTGATATTATGGTTGATGTTATTGTGCGTGGACAATGATCTTTCCTTACTTGGAGCGTGTACCAGAATGTGAGAGTGAGGGAGCTGGTTGTCTCGTTGACGGGGTAGTGGCCGGGGATTCCAGTACAAAACATGATCATGTTTACGAGTGCCAGAAAACTCTGCCAGTGATCCACCTGCTCCAACAGAGTCCTGGGGAGGGAGGTGGAGGGAAGTGAATGAAGGGGAGGTATTTGTTTAGAGATCAGTCACTCAGACACTACACTGAAGTTTCCAAGGTTGTATTATGGGAACACATTGCCAATGCTTTATTTGAACTGTTGATTTTCTTCATAGTCGTTGAAGTAGCACATTTAAGGCAACTGAGAAAAAAAAATTTATCAGTGTTGGTGATACGTGATATCTCATCTCTCTGAACCTTAAATCAGTTTATAAAAAGATCTAATGACATTAAACATGTTTTAAGCTCTAATACAGAATTTTTTTATTTCATTTAATATGATTGTCCACACACCAACGTGTCTAAACTAAGGGAAAAGAACATTCAAATACACCTTGACAGAGTAAAGTTATGTTACAAATTAACAACATCTGTAGTGGTAAATAACATATGATTGTAATTCCTTCACATAAATACCATTGTTATTATCATGTACGGCACACAAACACACAGACACACACACCTGGAGTGGTTCTCTCCGAGTGTGACAGCGATCCGGCAGATACCGTGGCAGGTCTCCATGTCTCCATTCTGCACCGCTTCCCTGAGCTGCTCCTGCAGGGCCAGCACTGGAGGCACCAGCTTCAGCAAAGTGTTCACATATCTACCTCCCCCGGACACACAAACACAGACAGTGAGTGTTCAGTGGATTATTTCGAACCAGACACAACGGTGTAGAACGGAAGGCACTGTCTGCAAAGCCACTTAGCCTCCCCTGCTGAGCATTGACTTGATTTCATTGCTCAAGGCTTTGTCAATCAATGGACTGCTTCTTATGAAGGACAACAGGGGTTCACATTACTTCATAGGCAGAGATAGAACACCCCCCCAAGCTGAAAAACCAAACATCTTCTTGGGAATAGGTGTGAAACTCAAGGCCTGGGGGCCAAATGCGGCCCGCCAAGGCACTTTGTGTGGCCCGCGGGAGCTTAAAAAGCATTGAATAAAGTCCATGCAGCAGAGTTTATCAACCTATGAAATTAAAAGATTTTTTTTTATTACACAGCAATAAACACTATTTGTAGCTTGAATAAATAATAATCAATTGCAGATACATGTTTTAGTCTGTTATGGAGGAGCTACATCTACTAGACCTTAGTCTGAATGACTTTTATTTTAAAATATTGCCAGATTATCCCACTGCGGGCTGGTACCAAAGGACCTATGGACTGGTATTGGTCCTTTGGTACCAGGGGTTGGGGACCCCTGATCTATAGTGTTCCATTTAAAACCGGCCCTTCAACAGGAACTGTACTGCTGATGTGGCCCCCTGTGAAAATGAGTTTGACACCCCTGTTCTAGGGAAACAAAATCTATTCACAGCTCCCTCTTTAAGCTGTGTTCAAGTCACACACTGTTCTGCCTGCTCAGTCTTAAGCCATCTATATTAGATGTGACAAAAAAATACACACACACACAGACAGACAGTAGCAGCATCAACATCATTCTGGCATCATTGTTTATAACAGCCACAGAGAGCTGACATTTGGAGATAAAGGTCATGCATACATGTGAGCCCTGAAAGTCACTGTGAAGATGATATGTGCACGCATGAATCTTGCAAATGTAAACAGAAATTATGCACGTGTAGGTCTCCAGGGAACTGTGTGGTATTGAAGTAGTGCTGTGTCTTAGAATAGAACATCAATATGGACTTGGATCTTGTTCAATAAATATTCATCAATGACCTGGCAAGGTTATGGACCGTACGCAAGGCAGAAACAACTCCTGCAAAAACCCTCGGTTATTGGGCACAACCCAGTTACGCAGCGTTGACGTTTAGCATTCAGTCGTCTCTTTTCTGTAAAAAAATAAAATAACATGGTGTTTGTTCCCAAGTGGTAGACATGACTTTGTTGTGGTAAATGTGCTAACAGCTAGCCACGTAGCGTGACATTATTTTGAAAATGTTAACGCTTCGGTCTAACAGGTGGTAGTGAAGTTCTACCGATCACTGTAACATTTATTTTATACCAAAGGCGTGGATCTCACATCGCATGACTTGGACTCGAGTCATTTGATGACTTTAGACTCGACTTGTATAGAAAATGTAAAGAGACTTGCAACTCGACTTGGACTTTAACATCAATGACTCGTGACTTCACTTGGACTTGAGCCCTTTGACTCGCAAGACTTGATACTTTCTCCAAAACTCAAAGTGTATCTGTATTATTATTTTGTTTAAAAGGACTCAATACAGAAATGTAAGGACTTGGGACTTGACTTGACACTTGTCAGTCTTGACTTAAGACTTGAATCGGACTTGAGTGCAAGACTTGAGACTTACTTATGACTTGCAAAGCAATGACTTGGTCCCACCTCTGTTTTATACTGAACAAGGATCCTAGGAAATTATAAAATTATAAATTATAAAAGTACTATTTATAATATAGTAATTACTTAACTTATAAAGATTTTTCAATTTTCACTC